TTTTTTTTTTTTTTTTTTTTTTTTTGGCATATGCTGATACTATTGCACCCTAATAAATACAGCTGTGTTGCCTGCTGGAAAGAGAGAGATGCACCGGTTTCCTCATAAGAGATCTGTACTCTCTTACGCTCCCATCAACATGAGAAGAATGAAGGCGGCTGGTAGAGAAAGCGCTCAGTGACTAGAATACAAAGACATTGTAGAAATCCTGCCTTCAAGGCAAAGATGGACCCAAACATAAAAATCTTTTGCTCTTAGTAGGAGACTTTGTCATGCTTCTCCCGATGTCCTTGTTTGTCTAGGAGTCTGGACTGCTCAGTTATAAAACACAAACTCATTTGAAAATGTCTCAAATTGAGCACTGGGGAGAATTAAGTGCACAGGCGCAGTGACTCTAATATAGTCTGCGTTGTTCTGCTACGGTGAAAACAATCTTTGTCACCGATGAGTTTGGTTTTGCATTGCGAACAGGCATAGTGCCGGAGTATTGGTTAGATTTTCACCCTTGGGATCAAATACCCGCCGTATACAACATAAAAGGAGGAAAAATTCTTTTGATCATGGTTTGGTTTCATTCCATGATCAGCTGGCTCCAAGGCAGGAATATTACGTCAGAAAGGCATGGTGGGGCAAAACTGCTCGTTTCGTGGCAGGCAGGAAGCAGATCCCAGGAGCACCAGGCAGATCTCCAAAGGCACATCTCCCACTGGGCCCACCACCTAACAGCACAGTCCGCTCTGCCCATTAGCAGGTTGATCTACTGATGAACGTGAGGCCCCCAGGATCCTAACACCTTCCCATGTATCTCACAGTCTACTCAAGCTGACAATTAAGCTTAACAGTTACAGCTGGGTAATTTAAACTGGGAGTCTACTGGTTATTGCATGATTGGCATGCCCTGTGCTGCTCAGTGTACCAGCTGGCCCCAGGAGGCAGGGCTCCAGAGACCTCACGGGAGCCCATGCACAGGAAACTGTGGCAGCCCCAGCCCCTGAGTCTCACGGACCCAGCGTTGAGTCTCGGCCACTCGATCTTGTTTCCAAAGAGCTCCACTCCCACTCAGAGACAACCCAACATCCTTGGTTGGAGTGCTGCGTCCCAAAACCCACAGTGTAAATACATGGGCGGTAACAGAGTATCAACTGTTTGCTTCAAGAATTTGTATCTCCAGGCAAAAAGCATCAGCAATGCCTTTATGAGATGGAATGTTCCCTTTCCATGGACCCATACCTTACCTTGTCTTGAGCTGCAGAAGGTGGATCTCAAGGCTGAAGACCGGACAGAAGCATGACGCCATCATTCCTCTGGAAAGAAGCTTTGAAGCAGATGCAGGAACCGTGAACACCTGAGTCTGCCAAAGGGCTTCCTTTATTTCCCAGAGGTCCAGAGATCTAAGAAACTGTTGGCCACAAATGTCCTTCTGAATTAATCTTCTACACTTATGAATGTGCTTTGTCAGAAGTCTTGGATGTCCCCACGACCACAACTACCACCAAAAAAAAAAGAAAACTACACAGAAAGCCTGTCCGGTGTTACACACATTTTGAATCTCCTTGCCTGCGAACTTCAAAGATAGCCTTGGTTTTTAAATTAGTCCTCAGTATTTTTTCACTTGGCCCATAAAGTCACCCTGGCTGTCGAGACCCTGACAAAAGCGGTGTGAGGTTTACTCCGCACAGCTTGCGTTTCGGTAAGGAACAGTGCCCGACAACTTTCCGTCTTCCAGGCCCAGAGACGTAACATCCAGTGAGATGCGTGCTGACTGCACGCTGGCTCCAAAGAACCCACGCATGCGTCAACGTCCCATGACATTTTGGGGTTTTGTTTTTATGAAAAGATAAAAACTACCAGGAAGAACAGCGCCATGTTTGACTTTTAAAATGTACCTGAGGTAAAATTAAAAGGCCTTTTAAAATATTTTTCAGCCGTTTTGAAGTTTGGCTATCACTAAAAATTTTAAACACTATAAACCTGCCTCCCGGCTACCTTGTGTGTGTGTGTGTGTGTGTGTTAACTCTCTTTTGTGATTTCTATCCAATTCTTTGGTGACTTCTCTCCAATTCTTCTGTGAACTGTCCAAGCCTTGTATGACCTTTGTTGTTTTTCAACTTATTGATGGGTAATTCCCAAAGGTCCATTTACTTGTCTAAGTTGATTATTTGGAAATCAAAATCCATTTTGCAGAAAAATAAGATTATAAGTTATGTTTATGGCTCCTCCAAATCTCCATAGCCAATAATGTATGTATAATGTTCTATGCTTTCAACAAAATATAGTTAATAACAAAAGTAACTTTTTCTGCTCTGCATATTTTTGATGAAAACACATTTTAATGAAAGGAAGACTTAGAAGTAGGTTGGAATATTACTGACAATATAAATAATTGGACACTTTCTAAGGCTTTAAGATATCATGGCAATTAGCAAATTTCAAAACGTGCGGTGTTATTTACTTATCAGATGTGTTAACTAATCACGCTTATAGGATTGTCAGCTTCTTTTTCCTTTTTAAATATTAATTACAACCCCAAAGAAGAAGTTAAAGAAAAAGAAAAGAAGAAAAATATATTTTTCTGTGATGTCCTAGGAAAAAGTCAGAGAAGACGTGGTACAAAAATGGAGATATATAAAATGCTTGTTCATATGAAAAGATTTGTCTAACCTGTGAAGTCGACTGATCTGTGGCCGATGAAGCTGTTCAAGTCAGTACAACCTGTGCATATCCTCTTTAGAAGGAAGAAGATCACTGTAAAGCAGGGGTTCTCAAATTGGGGCTCCCCGAAAAGCAGTCCTTCTTTACTCACTCACAAAGAACTCATTAGAAATGCAAATTATTTGGTCTCACTTTAGGCTTGCTAATTCCTAAGCGCCCAATTTGGGGCCCAACTGTTTTGTGTTTAGCCTCCTCCCTGCAGATCTCAAGGCTGCAGAATGAGCACTTCGGGTAGGAGCATTTCCCACTGTGACCACGAGGTGGCTCTGTTGGTCAGGACAGATTGGTTCAGTGAAGGAATTCTGGGCACTAAGGCCCAGAATTCAGGCCACTCTGATGCCATGGGTTCAAATGCCTTATCTGTTGGCCAAATTTCTTCAGTAATCAGGAACATATTCTAAATGTCCTTTATTCTACCTGGTCCAAAACTAAATTTATAGGGCATTTCTAAGTTTGTTTTTTCATGAGCATGGCTGATTTGCAAAAATGGAAAATTTTATTAATATGTGGAAAACATATCTGTTGTCTGTACTGCACTGCTACCTACTACTACCTAAAACATCTATATAATTCTCCATTGACTGAGACACTTTGAATCGTTTCAGAGCTATGCCATAGCATAGCCAGCAAATTCAGAAATGAACCCTTCACTCAGTCTTGGATTCCATTGCCCTTTCATCCACCCTTGTGTAGAGCCCCCCTCCGTTTGACTTTGTCTCTGCCCCAGGCCCTCATCCTTCCTAGATTTGATTGTGTTTTATACTCAATCCCTCCCTTCTCTCATCCCGGGCTCTACACGGCAGCTCCACCTTAAGCCTTGCATCCCTACACAGCGGTCAGGTAGTAGAGAACTGGAACAGCCAGAGCCCACTCCGTGGGAAATGCCTGCAGAGAGGGAAAAAACCACTGAAGCCCTCCACTGCAGCAGTCTTTAGATTGGAAAGATTTTTGTGTCTACATAGAGATATATTATCACAGTTCAAATGTTACTAAAACTCTGCAAGCTCTTCAAAAGAAAAGCACTATAAAGATCTGTATAAATATTTTAAATCTCTTCTTTTGTGGACCATTGTTCTTTATGAAAAAAGATTCTTCATTCATAGGGTGTTTTAACCTAGATTCTTCCAACATAAAAGCTTATTTCAGTATAATTATTTTCCTTTGTAACTCTATGTCTTTTATGCATATAAAATATTATACTAAGAAGGGCACATTGGCTTCACCAGACTGATACAGGGGTTCGTGTATGAAAAAAGATGGGGAACCCTTGGCTGATACTGAGGGACATGATCTAAACCCCAGAGGAAATAATTAATGCTCATCTCTTTGGGCTTCTCTAAGGCATAAAGAACCAATTACCCAGTGACAAAAAGTAAACGGAGCCCTTGGCTAAGCTGAACAAGGGTAATCACGCTTCTAAATTCAGCCAATATCTCCAGCCACTTGGGGATAACTACTCCTGCTTTTTCCTGAGGAGCACATTCACCATAGGGCATCTTCATCCTAGCACAAGGCAGGAACTTAGTGCATTGGTACATACTTGTGGATTGAAATATAGCAAACAGACTTAACTATCACAAAAAACGGGTGCTAGCATGTGAGTGTAAAATTTATGTTATTATTTTCTTTTTTTAAGTAAACAAAATGTACCTCCGATTTTCATGAGGGTCAAATGAGCAACATATAAGATACATATTTTAATGGGAGAAATGTATGTCCTATTCAGGATAGGTTAGATACCATGGTGTGTTTCATGGCTATAGACGAGTCTTTAAGCCCTTAGTTGCCAAAGAGCAAAGTCTATACATTGCTGTTGCCAAAGGCCCTGACATTCTGCTAATTTTGGCTGGGGGTGTTATCATGGGGTTAGTAGCTAAAAAGAGTCAGATCTTTCATACATATAGAAAATCAAAATACAACTATATGTCAGGATTCAGGAAGAGTTTAACATTGCTATGTGGAGCTAAGCAACCATCTTGAAATCTACAACCCCCCGAAGGGTCAAACTTAATAAATGTCCTTCTGGGGGATTACAAAAGAGTTCGCCCATATTGTATTATATACACCTCTTTTAGATTAATCGGTGCAGTATTTCTTTCTGTTTGACAGTTGAAGAAACAGACAACAAAATCTTATCCATGTTTGCCTACTTAGTCTTAGAGTGAGGAAGACTCTCTTCATACATAATTGTGGACTTTCAAGAAGAGCTAGCCCCCTAATGGAATCTTAAACAGCCCATTTGCCAGCAGGGCTCTCTCTCTCCTGTGTCATTCATTAATAGTGGGTGTTCTTGGGTCTGGGAGGGGAAATATTCAGCCTTTACCAAAGATGTCTATGTCCACAAAGGAGAAAATACTCCATCCCTAAAGCAACAAATCACTCTAGGTGTTGTTGGATTTTGGCGCCACTGATTTAGTCACCAGCCATGCAGTTGGCAAGATACTGAAATTGTGCATTAAGAATTGCATCCTCCTACTTTAGCTCCTCACTTTTTTGCCATAGCTTGTACACTGACTATAAAGTACTTATTCTGGGAGAAACAATCTTATGATAGAAGTTTTAAAACAAAGGAGAATTTAGAGATGCACAAGAGAATTACTGTGTGTTAGCTCTCCTGTTGCTGAGACAATGTACCCAATACCCACAGTTAAAGAAGGAGTAGTGTATATTTTGCTCACATTTTCAGAGGTTTCGGTCCATGGTCTACTGGCAGTAAGGCAGAAATGGAACAGCAGAATGACCTGGAGGAGGAAAGATGCCCAATATGTTAGCCAGGAAGCAGACATAGAGAAGACACAAACACACTCTTTCATGTCATGCCCCTAGTGACCTACCTCCAACCAGGTCCCACATTGTAACAGCACATTCAGCTATGAGCTTATCCGTGGATTAATTTACTGATGAGTAAGTGCCCCCACATTAGGAGGTGGGTCCAGGTTGGAAAAGGTGGATCACTGAGGCATGTCCTGGAAGGATATCTTCATTGTCCCCAGCTCCTCCTCTCGCTCTCTTTGTTTCGTGCCTGCCATGTGTTGGGCAGCTTTTTCTTCTACCAGGCTCTCTGCCACTGGAGTTAATAAACCACACACTGACCCCTCTGAAACTGTGAGCCAATATAAATCTCTCCTTCTTTCTTCACTTTTTTTTCAGCACTAGGAATTGAACTCAGAGCCCTCATGTTGAGCTACATCCTCAATCCTTTTTACTTTTTATTTTGAGATAGGTTCTTGCTAAGTTGCCCAAGCTGGGCTCAGATATGCAATTCTCCTCCCTCACAAAGTGCTGAGATTAGAGGTATGTGCCACATGCCTTATTAAACCTCACTTCCTTTGTAAGAGGTGTCAGGTATTTTTTCCCAGTGATGGGAAAGTGACTAAAGTACATCCCCTTTGTCTGGTTTCATAGATGAGGCAAAAATAATGTCATTGTTTCTCTTAGAAGAAATAACTCTGGTTAATTTGTCAGTACTTGAGGAAACTGAAATATTCTCACACATACTTATTATACCCTTTATATTTAAAGAAAGTATCTGCATATTCCTGACTCCAGTATTAGGATGGACATTTTCACAATGCTAGGAATTAGAGTTGGATACCAGTTACACTCAGAGCCAGGCAGAACTGAATGTTTAACACCAGACAATGCTAAGGGAAGTTCATTGAGACTTAGATGGCAGAAAATGTGCTTCATTTAAACAGAAATCAGAAGTGAAAAACTGTGGTGAAGGAACAGTAGGAAATAACATAGCTGCTTATTCAAGTTGGCAAAAACAGGCCACTTCTTTGAATCACAGAAGCTTAATAATTCGTGGAATTAGAAGTTAGCCTAGACTCTGGAAAATACTGAGAGTCAAAGGAGGGCTGGAGCCCCAAGCTACATGTTGCATTTGGAAGTTTAAATGTTGGTACTGAGAAGCAAGAGGTGTGATGTAGAAAAAAGAAATTGTGTACATAATTTTTGAAGGGCATTGTGCTACTAATTAAGGGGTCGCAGGAAATAACAAAGCTATACAAGCAAAAGAATATTCACAAAAGAAAATGCTTCTCATTTTAGATGAACTGAAGAAGTGATTTGTAACACACAGTACTGAGTTAATGATTAACAACTAAAATTACAAAGGAGAAGAATTCTGTCTACCTTGTTGGACATGCACTGGTATTCAGCTAGCTGCTCCTCAGTACCCCTATAGCTGGCTACTCCTCTGCGACTCCTACAGCTCCCAGCGGGGTATTCGTCATTCCCAGTCCAACTCCCTTTTCCTGATGCCCCTGATGCCATACTAGTAGGTGCTGTCATTACACAGCTGTGAACACGTGGAATTCAGTACCCCAGGACACAAGGGTGGCACCCTATTGCAGGGTCTACAACTGCAGGTGACACGGGCGGGGGGCTGGAAGTGCCGGGGGGCGGGGTTAATGACCACTGCTGAGAGAAGGATGGTCAACCGACGACAGAGTTGGCATATAACTTCCCTACTTTCTCCACTCCTCCTGTGAAACAAGTCGGACTAGGAGAGCCACTCAGACAGAGCTGGGCTTCGGTCGTCCCACCCCCTGCTCATTCAGACACTCTGCACCAAGTTCAATCACTGCTTCCTGTGACGGACATATAAATGAAATGTTCTCCCTGCATTGATTTCTCAGGGATACTTCCATGGAAACCTAACCCCAAACGTGCTCATATATACTTGTGCATATATATATTTCAACCTAAAACGATTTCACTAAGCTTTGATATTTATTGACCTCCAAGATCTGTTTTTTTTTTTTTAAATTAGTAGATGCTCACAGTACATAATGATTTCATTCCTTGTGTGGCGCTGGCGCATGTACAAAACACATCTTCATTTGGTTTTCCTCCTCTTCCCTCCCCTCCCTTGCTCCTCCCTCCATCTCTTGCTCACTCCCCCCCCCACATCCTGTTATCTGTCTTTTGTTTTGTGCTTTGCATATTCTGTGGGTTTCTCACATAAGAGAAACCATGTGCTATTTAAGCGTGTGTGTCTGATTTGTTACCTTCATTTTCCTACAAATGACTCATTTATCTTTCTTTACACAGACGAGCGCCCTGTTGTGTATAAATACCACATTTTCTTTATCCATTCATCTGCTGATGTAGATATAGGTTGAGTCTTAGTGTTTTCCTGTATTCCTAAATCGATGAGGCACGTTGTTTTGGACAAAGTAAGGTGAACGTGAATTTCCGGTTCAGAGTAAGGACAACTGCAAAGGGAGGTTTGCCACCTTCTTGGCCTCAGGTTCCGCCTTATAAAAGATGGTCTGTCATTTTCTCACCAAAGGAGAAAACTGGATTTCAGTAAACTCTGCTTAGTAGAGATATTTGACTCATCATCAAATGGGTCAAATGTCACTATATTGGTTTTTATGCATAGCACTTAGTAAACATAAACAATATTTCAAATACATTTATAAAACAGCTACAAAAACCTGTGCTCATAATTTTTAAAAAGCCAATAAGTCAACATCTGCAGGGATTGAAATCTATGCTATTTATGTTCAAATATAAATAAACAGGAAAAAAACATATGAGCACATAATAAAGTCTCTGTCTTCTCAGAAATCTGTAAGAATGAGGAACATGAGGAAAGAGAGCAAAGGAAGCATAATTTTTACACCCATTTGGGATTTTAAACACTTTTTTTTCCAGAAAATGTTTTGATAAGAAATACACATTTTCCAGCTGCCTTTGAATGATGAAGTTCCAATATATTTTATAATGTTCTTCTCTCAAATATTCACTTAGCGTAGCAGCATAATTCACCATATCTAAATTATGAGAGCAGCCTATATGCCCATTAATAGATGAATAAATAAATAAAATGTGGTATACATAGATACAATGAAGTACTACTCTGCCATAAAGAAAGATAAACATGAGTTATTTGTAGGAAAATGGATTAGATCATGATGAGATTATACTTTTAAGTGAAATAAATCATATGTAGAAAACTAAATATCACATGGTTTCCCTTATATGAGAAACCCAGCATAAAAATAAAGAGTACCATAAAGGGGAGATGCTAGGAACAGGGAGGTCAACTTTGTAGAGATGGAAAGGACCCAAGAAAAAGGTCAGAAGGTAAGCGGGAGAAAAGGGGAGGAAAAACTATTAAGATCTAGTATGTGTATTCCCCAAAATGAATGTAATTATCGTGCATTGCAAACATAAAAATAAAATAAACATTTAATTGGGAAACTTCCTGGAAAGCTTATGCAAAGCAAGGATAAAATAGCACTTTGATGAAACATCCACACCCATATTCTTCAGCAGGACAGTGTATGAACCAAAATAAAACGCCAGCTACCACCCTCTGCCAGCGCAGGACTCAGCCCCTCTGATTCGCCAGGTAAATGGAGAGTTTGTAGAATAGATTAGTACCGGCTGGAGATTTAGCTCAGTGGCAAGTACAAGATTTCTCCTGGCAAGCACAAGATCCTGAGTTCAATCCCCGGTATCAGAAAAATAAAAAAATTAAAAAAAAGAATAGATTATCACCCACTAGAGAAGTATTTGCATGAATCTCCCCAGATACTTAAGATTCTGCAAACAAGTTTGGATTATTTAAAGCATTGGTTGAGCCCTGAGCAAAATTTCTCCAAACAGCCCTGGAAGCAGTTCTGCATTACCCAAAGTCTAAGGAATCCTAATGGTAGCAAGAAAATGCACTGCATTCTATCAGAGTAACAACTGCTTCGAAAAGGAGAAAAAGCTTCTTGGAAGCAGAATTTCAGAAAATTATTGGGCAGGACAGAGAGCATAGCAGAAATTTGAAAACAAAAAGAGCACAGAGCAAAAAATCGAACTCTGTCATTTGAATGGTCCATTACCTCTGCAGTAAGAAAGACACCCAGAAATGCTTGAGAACTGTGAATTACTCCCCAGTACCCACATTTTGGGAAGTAAAAGCTCCAAATTGATCTGGCGCTTCTAGATAATCTCTTCTCCTGGAAATTTCATGTCTAAAGCATAGGCATATCTAGTTTGAAATGATCGCTGGAAGTGGTAGGAGCAGTCTCCCTATTACAAAACACAGGACTTCCAGAGAAGCTGCCTGAGGTCTGACTTTAGATCAGTTCTCTTCAAGTAAAGGGGGCTGATCTGAGGGGACTGACCCTAAGGGGAGCTCAGGGAAGCTCCAGATCCTTCCAAGAGCAGTGCAGGCAAGCAGCAGCCACCCACTCCCTCAGAATCCCTAGGGAGGGGCAGCAAGAGCAGAGAAATGGGTGATTAGTGCGTCTATCGTATCTCCAGCACTGTGTCAGCTGCATTATACAGATTTAATACACACTTTAATAAGTACAATCCCCCATGCTAAGTATTTTACATATTTACTACAAGGAAGCTAAAGACACATAGAATGTTACTGGCATCTCCATCTGCATCTTTCTTCTAATCTCTTGTTGGCAGAACAGATGCCAGTCTTGTTTTTCCTCCTCTCCCTTCTGTATCAAACAGGTAGAGATGGCACAAATGCAAACTGTAGGAATGCACGTGTATCAAAAAGGTTGGGCAAACACTTTCTGAGGCCTCTTACATGACAGGGTAGAGTCAGGTACGTAAAATGTCACCACTGAAAAGGGTCTTAGAAACCAGAGACCTCTAGTACTCAGATGAGGAAGCTGATGATCATGCTAGAGAGTGGAAACCAGTATGCTGCGCACTGTAGGAGCCTCCTCAGAAATAAATGTATCAGAACTGTCTGTTCAATATCAAATAATGCAACCACAAAACACTCTGTTGAAACAGACAAGGGAGATCAAAATATAGAGGGTATTTCAAATTCCCAGAGCTCTCCAGATTCTTATCTACGGGTCATGAACCTTTGTCTGTCTCAGATTCCGATGAGTTTGGACAAATTCCAGGGTTCTCAGAACGTGTGTGTGAAATACACATGTTCATGTTCACTCGGTAATAACTCAGTGGAATGACTGTCCGAGACACAAAACCACATGTCTCGTACACTCTCTACAGTGACTTATGGGCCACAAAGGGAAGGCCTCCTGGCATGAGTTGACCCCTGCCAGGGCATTCCTAGAGCTGCCATGCAGCTTTCCCTGAGCAGCAGCATCCTATAGAAATCCTACATGATCCAGTTCAACACATCTACATTCACTCAAAGGAAGGCAACCCAGTCTTACCTTCACTTAGGCGTGCCAACAAGTTTAACACATTTTTCCCAATACAGAAAAGTAAGTTTCTGAGTTTGGGAGCACAGAAGACATCTCGAGAAACAGCAGGGAGCGGGCATCTGGTGTCAGAGCCCTGGATATATCAAATAATGCAAATATGTTAACTGTGGGTCTGTCTTCAGGCAAGTTCCTTCTCTCCCGTCCTCTGAATTCATCTGGGAAGCGAATGAGGTGGGCAATGGTCTCCAAAGATCTTCCTGGTTCTGATGGGTCAGTTAATGTTTACTATACAGTTGAGTTAGGTGTCACAGGTATTTGCCCGCTGTCTCACAGGAGCTATGGCAAAGAATAACATTAACTCATAGCACCTTTCTCTGTGTCTTTTATGACTTCGAACCTGCTTGATCTGCACAACAACCTGAGACAGATAATATTACATTGTTATTTTTATTGCCTCTAAGAGAAAGGACACTGGAGCTCAGATGGAATAAGTGGCTCTTATCACATATTTGCTAAATACCTTGGGGACTGAGAAATCTCTACAGAGAAGGTGAAACAATAGATTGAATGTTTGTGCTCCCCCAAATTTATGTTGAATTCCTAGCCTTCAGTGCGAAGGTATTAGCTGGTGAGCCTTTCTGCTGGCAACATGATCAAAAAGGTAGAGTCTTCATGAATACAGATAGTGCCTTATAAGAGGGACCACAGGGAGCTCTGGTGTATACTCTCATTCTTATTAATTCTCATTAATTCTCATTCTTTCTGACTCTGTCTCCTCTCTCCCTCTCTCAATCTCTCCGCCTTGTTAGGCTATAGGAAGAAGAGAGAAGTCTGCGTCCTAGAAGAGGGTCCTCACTAGAATCTGCCCACAGTGAGCCTCTGATCTTGGATTTTTAGCCTCTAAAACTGTGAGAAAAGAGGTTTGTGATGTTGAAGCCATCCAGTCTGTGGTATCTTGTTATAGCAACCCTAGCCGGCTAATACACACAGTAAGAATTTTTCTTTGTCCTTTAGCCAGGGGTGTTTGTAGATCCAGTTAAGTGAGACCACAGACAAAAGGGTCTGTTAAGAAGCATCTGATACAAATGGAGGCCTCACCCAGCAGAGCTATCAACTCCCATTATGAGACTCAGCTCCCCCGGGGTTCCCTCCCATGCTCTTCGGATATTCTTAGGCCATTTGTGCCCATTCCTACGGGATCTGTGTGACCCTGGGCAAGTTGCCTAATGGAATCAATTATTCCAATTCTCCCAGTGACTATACACTGAAATTGCTCATCAAAGCAGCCTCTGAAAAATGCCCAGGAAGAAAGGGTGCGAGTAAGTAAGAGCTTGGTTACCTCGAGACTCTGAGGACCAAAGGTGGAAAAACCAGGGCAAGGATAAGCAGGGCTGGACTTGTAAAGTTACATTTAACCCACCTCTCTTTACCTTCACTAGGATTTTTCTTAGCCTGTCCTCTCACCTGCTCCCCACACATGCCCAAAAACTACAAATGGAGGAAAAGTCCAACATTTGGGGAACCTTATCGTCAAATTATTTTGCTGCCATTTGCAGAAAAAGAAAATGATTTGACAAGGAGGATAAATTTTATTATATGACATATAATATATATTAATATGTAGCATATAGTATTTATGTTAAATTTATATAAATATTCATTGAAATAGAATCAACATGACATAGTAATGTACCCATTTCATGTGCGCAATTCAACATTTTATATGTGTAGCCATCAAAAAAGTGGAGTCTGTAGTGCCTTCAGTGTCCCCAGAATAAACTCCTACCCATCAGCAGTCACTTGCCCACAGCCATACACAACCACCAATGCACCTTATCTCTAAGTTTTCCCTTTATGGACACTCAAGCAAATGTGATCTGTTGTGATTAACTTTTCTCACTAAGCAAATGTTTTTAAGGTATAACACGAATCAGCACTTCGTTCTTGTTCCTTTCAATATCTGAATAGTATTCCTTTAGCGGACGTACCAAATGTGATTTGCCAATACACACGTTGATAGACATTTGGGCTGTTTCCACTTTTAAGTCATAACTAACAATGATTAATACTTCTCTTAACATTAGTATTCATGGTTTTACTTAGATGTGTTTTCATTTTTCTTGAACATATATTGGCATACTGGATAATACAGGAATCTCCACAAATTGAGATTCTACCAACCTTATTTTCATCAGTCTTGTATGAGTATTTCAATTACTCCATAGCTCATCAATAGTTATTAATTATGGCCACTTCATTATAGCCAATGCACCCAAATCTTAGCATGTATATTAAAGAGGCAGCTCATTGTCCTCTGCTCTACAAGATCTTTTCACGTGCTTATAGGTGATTTGTAAATATTCTTTGGAGAAATAATGTCTACTCAAATCTTCTGTCATTTTTAAATTGGATTGTCTTTATTTGATTTTATTGAGTAATAAAAATTATTTCTATACTCTAGATACTAACTTCCAATCAGATATACGATTTGTAACAATTTTCTCTCAATCTGAAGGGTTATCTATTCACATTGTAGCAATGTCACTTGCAACACAAAAGATTCCAATTTTGACTAAGTCTGATGTATCAGTCTTTTCTTTAGCTGCTTATACTTTAGTGTCATAGCTAAGAAACTATTTCCCAACACAACTTTAAGAAGATGTACTTTTCTTCCTGAAATTTCTTCTCCCAGTTTTATAGTTGTAGCTCTTAAGCTAAGTCTGTGATCCACTTTCAGTTCGTTTACATACACGGTGTGGGGAAAGGGCCCAAGTTCTTTCTCTGCATGTGGCTATTCAGTTGTCCACTCATCCTTCATGGAATTATTTTGATAAATTTTGAAATATATATTTACCATAAATGTGAAGGTTTACTCTCTAGACTTATAGTTCTGTTCTATTGATCCATCTATGCTGAGATCATATTGCTTTGTCTTGATTCTTGCAAATATATATTAAGTTTTCAAGTTGGGATGTATGAATCATAACTTTGTTCCTTTTCAAAGTTATTTGGTTATTATATGTTACTCAAATTTCCACATGAGTTTTGTTTTGTTTTGTTTTTTGAGACAGGGTCTCACTATGTAGTGAAGACTAATCTGGAACTCACTATGTAGCCCAGGCTGGTCTCAAACTCACAACAATCCTCCTGTGCTGGGATTACAGGCATGCGCCACCACGCCCAGCTTCCACATGAGTTTTGCATTGGCTTAATTCCCGGTTGGAATTTTGATAGGGATTGTAATGAATTTATGCATCAATGTGAAGAATAATACCACATTAATGTTAAATCTTCTGCTTCATGAATATGGGATGTATTTCTTTCTATTCAGATCCTCATTAATTTCTTTGACCAACAGTTTGTATAGTGTAAAAAAATTGTCCTTATTGAGCTAAATTGAACCCTATTTTATTTCTGTTGATATTAAAGTTTTCTTAAATTCATTTTCAGATTGTTCCTTATTGAATGTATAGAAATTAATTCATTTTGTATATTAATTTTATATCCTATAACGTTGATAAACTCATTTACTGGTTTTACTAATTTCTGTGGAAATTCGCTAGACTTTGCTATATGAAAATCACATCATCAGCAAATATGGATAATTTGATTAATTTATCTCCAATCTGAATGTCTTTTTCCACTTTCCTAAGTGCCTTCCCTAGAACCTCCAGTACAAGGCTGGACAGAAGGAGTGGAAGTGGGCATCTTTGTCATATGGTTGACTTTATGAGGAAGGCATCTTGTCATCAAGTATGCTGTTAGCCACGAGTAGTTAATAATAACTTTCAGTCCGTATTATTGTACAGATTTTCCATGTATTTCTCCATACACTAGATATACTACATACTATGTACTGTATATCTCTTTCTTACCCTCCTTCACCAGACACCTTCAGCCTCTTCTTTTCTTGCACATTTTTCTCTCCCCAGGGTAAGCTCTTGTCTGCCGCAAGCAACAGGAGCTGGAGGAAGCTAAGGGCTGTGCCTTGTGTACAGACTGGCCAATGCTTCCTTTCCTTTCAGGCTTCATCCTAAATCATGAGTACCTTTTAGAATCCACAGAGGTCGATTCTAATTGCCCTCACATGTGGGAGATACTTTATTTTTAGCTGCCTAGATACCTATGAAGCATTTTGATTGTTTTCATTTTGTGCAATTACTGAATAGATAATCAATAACTAGATAATCAATAATAATTTAGCTATTGAATGGATTTCTGTCTTCATGGTTTGTCATTGTTTCTCATGTAAGCTGCATAAGAAGAGTTAGAGTAATTCATTTCAGTCCCTTGCACTGAGAAAAACCTAAAAGTAGACACAAAGTATTGTCTGTGTTGTTACTTGGAATTTCAACAAGTAATCTTTGGCTGTAAGTATAACTCATACAAGGAAATATTAGGAATTTCTCTTCAAGTGTACTTATGCTCCAAAACATCACTTATTAAAGTAATTATTATTGTTTTTCCTATTCAAATATTTATTCACATCAATAAAAGCAGAGATATGGATTTATAAGTACAATCATGTCTAATCCTCAACTATTAAAATTATAATTCTTTTTCTTTTCTTTTTTTGGGGGGGTACTGAAGATCGAACTTCAGTCCTTGCACTTGTGAGGCAGGCAGCAGAACCACTAAGCTAAATCCCCAGCTATAATTCTTTTTGTATGTGTACTTTTCTACGAGTCAATGACAGACTATTACCCTTTTCCTTTCACATTCTCGCTTTGGCTTATAATCCCAACATGTTCCAACTTACAACCTCTAACATTTCAGTTATAGATTAACTTTCTTTCTCTCAAAAACTCCTTTTATACTTGACTTCTTTCTGCACTTTAATTTTCCACTTACAACTGCAAACCCGAAGACAGAATGGCAGAGATACATTGTCGGTACTGAGTATCTAGAATAGCAGCTATCAAACATAAGTGGATACAAGAATAATTACAGAAGACTAACTAGAGATTCCTGAGCTCATTTCTGAAGATTCTACTGCAGAGGCCAATGGTTTCTTGGAAAAGGCCAATTTCCTCCTTTCCTGGACACACAGCTAGAACACACACCCCAACCTGCCTTGGTATGGGCATGGGACTGTGCTCATACTAATAGAATATACATGGACCGTGTGTGCCTGCTCCAGGGTGGACACGTCCTATTCCTTCAGTTGCTTGAGATGGTGAACTGTAGAGAAACTTTCTTAATAAGAGAAATTCACACAACATAAAATTCATCATCGTAACCATTTAAAAGTGTATAATGTGGTAACTTTTAGTTCACTCACAATGTGTCACAAGCATTACCATAATCTAATTCCAAAACAGCTTCATCACCCAAAG